CCATCTCACAACCCTCTCATCCCTCTATCCTGTAGTCGTGTCAGTGCCCTGTTCTTTATGTGACTGCATTAATTAGCTCTTCATTTGATCTGCAGGCTGTATTGAGCTAATGGCTCTCCATTAGTGTCTGTATGGAGAGCAGGGGGCGGATGCTCTTGTGAGAGGGAGAGAGAGGTTGTGTGTGTTTGCGTTGGTAATCATTAAATTGACAAAACTCCTTTTATTCATTGAGCAGTGCGGAGGGCCAGGCTTCACTGGTCTGTTAATTGAATTAGACTGGGCACTGACAGAGCCTTTCATCTGAGACACAGAGAAAAATAAACCGTTAGCTGCCCAGCATGTGATTAGATACAGATTTGTGCTGCCATCTAAAGGTGAAGATGGGAAGCTCTGAAGAAAATCATGAGGTTTTGCAAGAGTAAAATGCAATCTCAAACCATTTCTTAGCAATTTGTTGTGAGCTGTGACATAAAAAAAGGACTGGGAACTGGTGAAACATATGCTATAATAAAATGAAATGTTGGTGATACTGTTCAGAAGTTTGGAGTCAGTAAGATTTTTATTTATTTTTTTTAAAGAAATTGAATACTTTTATTCAACAAATGCACATCAAATGGATCAAATATGCTAGTAAAGACAAAAAATGTATTTTAAGTAAAAATGCTTTTCTTTTGAAATGTATATTCATCAAAGAATCCTAAAAAAAAATCTATCAAATTATTATACATTTTCAACATTGGTAATAAAAATAAATGTTTCTTGATCAGCAAATCAGCGTATTAGAATGATTTTTGAAGAAACATGTGAAAATGAAGACTGGAGTAATGGCTGCTGAAAATTGAAAATTCAGCTTTGCATCACAGCATTTAATTACATTTTACAGTATATTTACATAGAAAATAGTTACTTTAAATTGTAATAATACTTTACAATATAACTGTTTTTACTGTATTTTGATCAAATAAATACTGCCTCGGTGAACAGAAAAGACCTCTTTCAAAAACATTTAAAAAAATCTTACAACCCCAAACTTGTAAAACTTGGTTGGTAGTTTCTTTCAGTAAAACTGCATTCAGAATACACTACTAATTTTGAATGGCCATCAATGAAAAGATGCAGTTACATGATCTAACAATGGGGTCTAATGGGGTCATTATAACCAAATAAACCATCACACTTTTTGTCTGATACACACTACACACAAAAATGACAAGAACTGGTGAAAATCAGCAGTTTCAAACATAAGGATGGCTGATGAGTCTGGAAACAAGTCATGTTTCAGAAGATGAATTACTCTTGTGGATTTACCAAAATGTATGAGATTTAAAAAAATGTTTAAAGGTAGTTAAAGCAAGAAGATTAAATATACATGGGCACAATGCATTGGTACGCTCTGCAGCATTTCCAAGTATCCGAAAGCCCTGCAAGCAAGTAATTTTCCATAATTTTCTTGGATGTGCAATCTTTTACAGGGCTGCTATTAAATGATCATTGATCTTGGTCTGAATAGGTTATAATGTGCACTAGACATTATACTGCAAAAAAAAAAATTAATCTAAAAGAAAAAATGGGTGAAATGTGTTTGTGTGTGGGTTTGATGGTAGTCTTTTGGAGTGTCTTTCATTCGTTTGGTTGTTTGTATCATCATAGTGTTCTTTCTTTAATTTGAGGTATCTGTGTAACCATTTCTCTGTGTTTCATGTGTTCAGTTTAAGCTGCGTGTGCTGAGTAAACTGGCAGCATCTCTCAGTAAGCACATGCCAGAGAAGGTTCCAGAAGACACCAGTAGTATCCTCCGCTCTCCCATGCCAGGATCTGTGGTGGCTGTGTCCGTTAAACCAGGAGATAATGTAAGACACTTCCTGGAAATACCGCAAATGCACTGCACAATCAGTAGAACTATATTTCTCCCCAATTCCCAGTTTAACATATGGATTCACATTTAATTTGGATTGTTCAGAGGTCTCTGGGTAATACTTTTAAGAAAGCTGATAGTAGTCAAATGCCAGGCACTTAGAAACAAGATGAAAAAGGATAGCTCGATATTAACAATAAACATAGTATGCAAGTACACTTTACCTTGTGTTAGTTCACAGAGTGATAGTTCACCAAGAAATGAAAATGCTGTCATCATTTACTCATTATCTTCATGCAGCAAAAAAGCATAAAACATATTGCTGATGTATAATTTTTCTAGTTTTCTGATCAGTTTTGCTTGAAGAAAAATATTGAATAAAAATGCAGCCTGATATTGAAGCAGTTTTATATTGGTTTAAATGAAAAAATGGTGCATTTCTGCCATCCACTGGACTGGAGTATGAAGCGCTAGATGGCACACAAATATGTATGGACCAATGGCAAAAGTTTGCAGTTTCCACTGAAATCTGCCTGGACAATTCTAAAATATAAATTATTATTATAGGCTTACTATTGTGATTCAGGATAAGGCAAAAACACAGTTTGGAAGATGGATTTATGATGTACTCACTCATTATTTAAAGGAATAGTTCACCCAAAAATGAAACTTTCCAGGAAATGTACTGACCCTCAGGCCATCTGAGATGTAGATGAGTTTGTTTCTTCATCAGAAACACATTTGGAGAAATTAAGCATTACATTACTTGTTCACCAATGGATCCACTGCAGTGAATGGGTACCCCCAGAATGAGAGTCCAAACAGCTGGTAAAAACATCGCAATAATCCACAAGTAATCCACACGAGTCTAGTCCATCAGTTAACATCTTGTGAAGTGAAAAGCTGTGTGTTTGTAAGAAACAAACTCATCATTAAGACATTTTAACTGTAAGTCGTTACTTCCAGCTAATTTTAACCAAAAAACAATTACATGGTATAGCTTTAAATACTGGGTTGTTTTTCGAACTTAAAGGAACAGACAACTGCCATGTTCAAGGCCCAGAAAGGTAGTAAGGACATTATTAAAATAGTTCATGTGACATCCGTGGTTCAACCTTAATTTTATGAAGCTACGAGAATACATTTTGTGCAAAGAAATAGCTGAAAAAAGTCATTCTTTTTGTTTTCTTTGCACACAAAAAGTATTCTCGTAGCTTCATAAAATTAAGGTTGAACCCCTGATATCACATGGACTATTTTAACAATGTCCTTACTACCTTTCTGGGCCTTGATCGTGGTAGTTCCGTTGCTGTCTGTTCAGGGAAAGAAAGCTCTCGAACTTCATCAAAAATATCTTTGTGTTCCGAAGATGAACAAAGGTCTTACGGGTTTGGAACGACATGAGGGTGAGTAATTAATGACAGAATTTTTATTTTTGGGTTAACCATCCCTTTAACAATTTAAGCATTTCCAACAAGCCACTTTGTGCAGTTGCTTAAGTGAGTCGTTATGTGTGTATTAAATTCACCCAACCAGGTGTTCATTAAATGATCTCCTTTTGTGTTTCACAGAACAAAGAAAGTCATACAGGTTTAAAATGATGTTTAAATGAGGACAGATTTTTCTGTTTCGAATGAACTATTGCTTTAAATAACGTGAAAAGCTGACAGTGCACTTCAGTGACAAAATGTCTGCGTGTGTGTGTTTGCGCGTGTTGCTGTCAACTTGAATTGAATGTGTCCTGACTCAGTTTGTTAATGACTTCTATATAATGCACAGACCGACTGGCCCCGGCTAATACATCTGAGCCCTTCCAGTAAAACATCTCATTCACTCAGCAACGTCACACACACACAAGAGCACTGCAATGAAGAGCTCTCACACTGATTAGTCACCACACACACACACACTCGGCACACCACCTGATTTCGGCACTTCTGTATAGATAAGACAGAAATGAGTCCTTGTGGATGGAGGGAAACAGCGATTCCTCAGCGCTCGCTTATTTCCATAATCCATTTCCCTAATGGAGAGTTTGATAGATATAAACAGAGGTTTCTTTATTGATTTTGCTCTCGCGTTACAGTGAGCTTTGTGCGTTTGTTAACTGTTATGACTCTTCTAATGCATGCGCCTTTATGAAATGATATTACAATATTCCCCTGCTCTTTGTGCTGAGGTCGTTTTATGTACTAGACCTGCACGAGTCTATGAACAGATGCTCTGTGAGTCATGTGTTTCAAGAAGTTATTAGAAAGTACTCATTGTGGAATAGCTGTTGAGGTTTATTTGTTCATTGGTGTTCTGAAGGTTGCAGAGGGACAGGAGATCTGTGTGATTGAAGCCATGAAGATGCAGAACAGCATGACCGCAGCAAAGACAGCCAAGGTGAGCTCACTCGCATACATACATAAGTTGATACACAATCCTCCTCACTACTCTGTGCATCATAAATCGATATGACATAAAGAACACACTCTTCCACATAGCTACATTACAATACCCAACACCATGAGAGAGAGAGACAGCGAGGGGCCGCGGTCCATTATCCACACTTGTATTCTGACCAGACCACTTAGCTACTGTAAAAAGTCTCCCTCCTTACTAAACGACTAAAACCAGATTATGGTTCGTTTGATGGTTGGCGGGATATTTTATTGTACTTCATGTCAGGGTTGTTATATATAACTAAAACTAAAACCATAAAAAAACATTTTATCTAAAACATTTTTACATATACATTTTTTTCAGCTAGTTGCCAAGACATTTCTCATTTTGACTTAAAGTGATGTATTTGATGTACTAATATAACTAAAACTAATAATAAAAATAAATCTTAAAAATCTATAAAAAAAACTATATAGACATTAAAAAAACAATAAAAATTACAGAAATTACTAAAACTAAAATAAAAATGCAAAATATAGAAATATAACATTAAAAATATTACCGAAAACTCTAAAGTTCTTTGCACACCTTGCACAAATGTTAAAAAATAAATACGACCTTGCGTTGCGTCAATCACGTTTACACACTGCCTCCGAAACTTTCGTCCGTCATAAAAAAATGCGGATCAGGTTCGATATTCTGTGTTCGGTATTTTGCATCCGTAGCAAGCATTTTGATAGGAAAGAATGACGAATACGAAAAAAAAAACCAACGAAAAAACACATATGGAAATTTCGGACTCAGTGTGCAAAGACCTTAATATTATCTCAGTGATTCTAAAATAATGCACCTTCATGCATCATTGTATTTTTCTTCAAATATTTCTCAAGGTTTGTAGTAGTTTGTAGAATCACTAAAGCATTAACATAGGTTGTATCCAAAAAGTCTTAAAATTATTAAAATAATTTATAGAAAAAGTATAAATAAATAATTACTTTAAAATTACCCTAAGGGCCCAAATATGGAATATTATGGAAGCATTAGTTAGTTTCTTAAATCGTTTTTCCCATTGTTTCTCTGGAAAGCTTCCTGCGTCCAGTGTGTTTGACTGACATTACTGACTTCAACACAAATAGCTTTTTCAGATGCAGAAATGTTGGACTTTCCTAATAAAATGTGTGTTAATTTTCAGGTGAAGAGTGTGCACTGTAAAGCTGGAGATACAGTCGGAGAGGGAGATCTACTGGTGGAACTGGAGTAGCAGATCATCAGTCGCTGTGGATAAGCAATCAAAGACACTAGTAGACTAGATGGAACATTTTTTACATTATCACTATAATGTATTCATCTCCCTGGGATCTTGCTGGATTCCAGTGAAGGAAATGTCAAAACACTTACACTCTCTCGTGCCTTGGCCCTCCGTTGGAGGTGTTTTCATTTCACATGGAACAAACCACAATTGGACATCAGCAGCAGCAACTCATCTTCAAATGCAGTCAGTGAAAGCAGTTGACACTCTCTCTACTCTGTGTTGATTTAGCATTGTTTAGAGGAAGTGCTGTGAATGTTTTGCATTGCTGCAACTCATTTTTAATTATAAGGTTATATTATGCAATGATTTTTCTGCTCCATGATTATTCAAGCATAATATAGGCCTATTCACTCATCTACAAATCACCAATCCCACACTCGTCTATTTAAGTGTTTCCATAGAACTTGTACCTAATTTCTGTCATCAAATGCATTAAACTCAATTAGTGATTATTTAGGTCTGTAGGTGCACTGTTCAAACACTTCATTTGCTTGGGCTTTAATTGTTAAGTCGTTTCCTCTCTTTCTAAAATTGTGAATCCGGAAGGAGCGGACCTTTAACAGAAGGAGAAGGCAGATATGATTACTCAGAAACTAACAGACAGCTGTGGTCAGGCTTGGAGGAGGCACTTAGATCTACTTTCTGTCTGTACTTGTTTTGAGAAAAAATAAAGTGTTATAATAAAAATGGGATTAATGTAACATTCCAAGTGCTCATGATTGCTTGAAGCCCTAGGCTTGGGAAGGAAACACATGAATGCATGATTTGATTGAATGCTGTGTGGCAGCAGCTATTTCCAGAAAAGAAACAGACGCATACAACAGTCAAACCAGTTTGATTTGTCTTTTTTTTTTTTAATGTAGCAACCTTTTTCTCTCACAAATGTAACAAATGTAAACAAAATATGTCAGTTGACCAAGAATTTCTTCATCAGAAACACATTTGGAGAAATTAAGCATTACATTACTTGTTCACCAATGGATCCACTGCAGTGAATGGGTACCCCCAGAATGAGAGTCCAAACAGCTGGTAAAAACATCGCAATAATCCACAAGTAATCCACACGAGTCTAGTCCATCAGTTAACATCTTGTGAAGTGAAAAGCTGTGTGTTTGTAAGAAACAAACTCATCATTAAGACATTTTAACTGTAAGTCGTTACTTCCAGCTAATTTTAACCAAAAAACAATTACATGGTATAGCTTTAAATACTGGGTTGTTTTTCGAACTTAAAGGAACAGACAACTGCCATGTTCAAGGCCCAGAAAGGTAGTAAGGACATTATTAAAATAGTTCATGTGACATCCGTGGTTCAACCTTAATTTTATGAAGCTACGAGAATACATTTTGTGCAAAGAAATAGCTGAAAAAAGTCATTCTTTTTGTTTTCTTTGCACACAAAAAGTATTCTCGTAGCTTCATAAAATTAAGGTTGAACCCCTGATATCACATGGACTATTTTAACAATGTCCTTACTACCTTTCTGGGCCTTGATCGTGGTAGTTCCGTTGCTGTCTGTTCAGGGAAAGAAAGCTCTCGAACTTCATCAAAAATATCTTTGTGTTCCGAAGATGAACAAAGGTCTTACGGGTTTGGAACGACATGAGGGTGAGTAATTAATGACAGAATTTTTATTTTTGGGTTAACCATCCCTTTAACAATTTAAGCATTTCCAACAAGCCACTTTGTGCAGTTGCTTAAGTGAGTCGTTATGTGTGTATTAAATTCACCCAACCAGGTGTTCATTAAATGATCTCCTTTTGTGTTTCACAGAACAAAGAAAGTCATACAGGTTTAAAATGATGTTTAAATGAGGACAGATTTTTCTGTTTCGAATGAACTATTGCTTTAAATAACGTGAAAAGCTGACAGTGCACTTCAGTGACAAAATGTCTGCGTGTGTGTGTTTGCGCGTGTTGCTGTCAACTTGAATTGAATGTGTCCTGACTCAGTTTGTTAATGACTTCTATATAATGCACAGACCGACTGGCCCCGGCTAATACATCTGAGCCCTTCCAGTAAAACATCTCATTCACTCAGCAACGTCACACACACACAAGAGCACTGCAATGAAGAGCTCTCACACTGATTAGTCACCACACACACACACACTCGGCACACCACCTGATTTCGGCACTTCTGTATAGATAAGACAGAAATGAGTCCTTGTGGATGGAGGGAAACAGCGATTCCTCAGCGCTCGCTTATTTCCATAATCCATTTCCCTAATGGAGAGTTTGATAGATATAAACAGAGGTTTCTTTATTGATTTTGCTCTCGCGTTACAGTGAGCTTTGTGCGTTTGTTAACTGTTATGACTCTTCTAATGCATGCGCCTTTATGAAATGATATTACAATATTCCCCTGCTCTTTGTGCTGAGGTCGTTTTATGTACTAGACCTGCACGAGTCTATGAACAGATGCTCTGTGAGTCATGTGTTTCAAGAAGTTATTAGAAAGTACTCATTGTGGAATAGCTGTTGAGGTTTATTTGTTCATTGGTGTTCTGAAGGTTGCAGAGGGACAGGAGATCTGTGTGATTGAAGCCATGAAGATGCAGAACAGCATGACCGCAGCAAAGACAGCCAAGGTGAGCTCACTCGCATACATACATAAGTTGATACACAATCCTCCTCACTACTCTGTGCATCATAAATCGATATGACATAAAGAACACACTCTTCCACATAGCTACATTACAATACCCAACACCATGAGAGAGAGAGACAGCGAGGGGCCGCGGTCCATTATCCACACTTGTATTCTGACCAGACCACTTAGCTACTGTAAAAAGTCTCCCTCCTTACTAAACGACTAAAACCAGATTATGGTTCGTTTGATGGTTGGCGGGATATTTTATTGTACTTCATGTCAGGGTTGTTATATATAACTAAAACTAAAACCATAAAAAAACATTTTATCTAAAACATTTTTACATATACATTTTTTTCAGCTAGTTGCCAAGACATTTCTCATTTTGACTTAAAGTGATGTATTTGATGTACTAATATAACTAAAACTAATAATAAAAATAAATCTTAAAAATCTATAAAAAAAACTATATAGACATTAAAAAAACAATAAAAATTACAGAAATTACTAAAACTAAAATAAAAATGCAAAATATAGAAATATAACATTAAAAATATTACCGAAAACTCTAAAGTTCTTTGCACACCTTGCACAAATGTTAAAAAATAAATACGACCTTGCGTTGCGTCAATCACGTTTACACACTGCCTCCGAAACTTTCGTCCGTCATAAAAAAATGCGGATCAGGTTCGATATTCTGTGTTCGGTATTTTGCATCCGTAGCAAGCATTTTGATAGGAAAGAATGACGAATACGAAAAAAAAAACCAACGAAAAAACACATATGGAAATTTCGGACTCAGTGTGCAAAGACCTTAATATTATCTCAGTGATTCTAAAATAATGCACCTTCATGCATCATTGTATTTTTCTTCAAATATTTCTCAAGGTTTGTAGTAGTTTGTAGAATCACTAAAGCATTAACATAGGTTGTATCCAAAAAGTCTTAAAATTATTAAAATAATTTATAGAAAAAGTATAAATAAATAATTACTTTAAAATTACCCTAAGGGCCCAAATATGGAATATTATGGAAGCATTAGTTAGTTTCTTAAATCGTTTTTCCCATTGTTTCTCTGGAAAGCTTCCTGCGTCCAGTGTGTTTGACTGACATTACTGACTTCAACACAAATAGCTTTTTCAGATGCAGAAATGTTGGACTTTCCTAATAAAATGTGTGTTAATTTTCAGGTGAAGAGTGTGCACTGTAAAGCTGGAGATACAGTCGGAGAGGGAGATCTACTGGTGGAACTGGAGTAGCAGATCATCAGTCGCTGTGGATAAGCAATCAAAGACACTAGTAGACTAGATGGAACATTTTTTACATTATCACTATAATGTATTCATCTCCCTGGGATCTTGCTGGATTCCAGTGAAGGAAATGTCAAAACACTTACACTCTCTCGTGCCTTGGCCCTCCGTTGGAGGTGTTTTCATTTCACATGGAACAAACCACAATTGGACATCAGCAGCAGCAACTCATCTTCAAATGCAGTCAGTGAAAGCAGTTGACACTCTCTCTACTCTGTGTTGATTTAGCATTGTTTAGAGGAAGTGCTGTGAATGTTTTGCATTGCTGCAACTCATTTTTAATTATAAGGTTATATTATGCAATGATTTTTCTGCTCCATGATTATTCAAGCATAATATAGGCCTATTCACTCATCTACAAATCACCAATCCCACACTCGTCTATTTAAGTGTTTCCATAGAACTTGTACCTAATTTCTGTCATCAAATGCATTAAACTCAATTAGTGATTATTTAGGTCTGTAGGTGCACTGTTCAAACACTTCATTTGCTTGGGCTTTAATTGTTAAGTCGTTTCCTCTCTTTCTAAAATTGTGAATCCGGAAGGAGCGGACCTTTAACAGAAGGAGAAGGCAGATATGATTACTCAGAAACTAACAGACAGCTGTGGTCAGGCTTGGAGGAGGCACTTAGATCTACTTTCTGTCTGTACTTGTTTTGAGAAAAAATAAAGTGTTATAATAAAAATGGGATTAATGTAACATTCCAAGTGCTCATGATTGCTTGAAGCCCTAGGCTTGGGAAGGAAACACATGAATGCATGATTTGATTGAATGCTGTGTGGCAGCAGCTATTTCCAGAAAAGAAACAGACGCATACAACAGTCAAACCAGTTTGATTTGTCTTTTTTTTTTTTAATGTAGCAACCTTTTTCTCTCACAAATGTAACAAATGTAAACAAAATATGTCAGTTGACCAAGAATTTGCCTGAAATTGGGCCACTTTTTTGTAGTTTGGAAAATGTTCGATTGCTGCAAGTTGTCTCCACTGTAACGTGGTTTCCTGTTATTGTTGTAAAGGACTGTCAAAACCAGAGAGGATTGATTTAGCTAAAAAACGTACTGCCTGTGAGTGTAAACACAATAGTTTGCTTCTTCAATACCACATTTGGTTTGTTAGGAAACCGATTTAGACTTGCTTATTCTCGCAAGTAACATTAATAATAGGATTTTATCTGAAAATACAACATGTAGTAATCGTAAAATTAGTGTGATGTTGCGTGTTTTCCATACAAACACGTTTGTTCTTCACTCTGAGATGTTTGAGTTCAGCAGTGGCTGTCGGTGTAGAAACTGGATTGCATTGTTATGGTTGTGCTTCAGAACGGTCACAGCTCTGACTGTGGCCTTGAGCTGACGATAAACTCATTACACACGCGTGCACACACTCAGAGACCCCACCCCACTGACCTTTGATCTTTCTCAGTTGCTCACATTTGAAACCTAATGGCCATAATCTTTCCTGTAGCCACTGTGAGAGAAACTGCTTCCTCCTCGTTTTATTCAATACTGTAAAAAATAGAAAAGCAAACGCCTTAAACCCGGACAGCACTGCACTGGGTCTTCGGGTAACACTGTTCAATTCTCCTCAGTGAATCCTTTCTTGTAAATACGTCGCATGCAGAGATTCAACCGTAAACTAGGCCTCACACTGTAGTGACTCTCATGACCAGTTCGCGGTTGCTGTTGCTGGTCTGTCCGCGTGGCTCCTGGGGCCTCAGGTGGTGGCTGAGGAGATGAAGGATGTTGTAAGCACAGTGGTGGTCTGGCAGTGAGGGCTGCTCATTGCTGGGCTCAGACGAGTCCTGCGGCTCTGCCGTGGCACCTGCTGCCAATGGGACGGTGTTTGTGGTGGGGGTTGCGGTGCCCTCCGCTGCAGCCATGAGGGAGGATGTGGAGGTGGAGGCTTCACCTTCCGTGCCGGTCGGCCACATCCGGTGCGTCAGCGGCAGAGAGAGGGTCCGGAATGCAGCACAGGTCTTCTGATGCTCCTCATTGTCTTTGACCTTGTCGTAGTTTAAGACTTTCCACTGCTGATTGACAGCCTGCCAGCGGTTAAAGATGCGAAATACGGAGGGACCTTCGTGGACAATCAGAGCTAAAAGAGAAGGACAGATGGATTTGCTAAGTGAGGGATAATGTACAGTCAGGCAGTGTCATGAACAAATGGTCCGCCTAGGAAGCCATTCCATTTGCTGAAAGAATTTTTAATGGGTACTTAAAGGAAATAAATACTTTTATTCAGCAAGGGTGCATTCATTTGATCAGAAGTGACAGTAAAGACATTTCGAATAAATGCTGTTCATTGAACTTTCTATTCGTGCCGAAAACAAGTATCACAGTTTCCACAAAAATATGAAGCAGCACTGTTTTCAACATTGATAATTATAAGATTTTTTTTTTGTGTGCAGCAAGTCAGCATATTAGAATAATTTCTGAAGGATCATATGAGTAAAAGCTTTGCATCTCAGGAATAAATTACATTTTACTTACAGTATACTCGCATAGAAAAAAATGCAGCCTTGGTGACAAACAAATGCAGCCTTGGAGAACAGAAGAAACTTCTTTCAAAAACATTAAAACAGTTTTATTAAACTCACAGTTTGGACAGTAGTCTTTGTTAATAACAATTAATGTCTTTAAATTATATGCTTAAATCTTCCACTTTTTTCTTCCATTTTTTTCCCCACAAAAAAATCATTGCAGTGTACAAACAATCACCCAAGTACTCGGAGGCATTTTTTTGATAGGCAACTGAATACATAACTCAGCTGGCAGCAGTTGAGTTGTTTCTTTAAACTTAAGAGTCCATGATGTGATATGAGAGACATGAAAAGTAGGGCTGGTTTCCGGAAATACCACACTATTTAATGGGAAGATTGACCTATCAGAATCATGTATTCCACAGAGCCGTGTAATAACTAGTGGCTAGTTACTCTAATACTAATACACATAAAACTTCACAATACATGGAGTTCTACTTTATTTTATTTAAAAACACTGAAAGTGAATACTTGTAGTTTTAACTCAATTACATTTCCCGGGCTAAATAATTATACTTTTTACTCCTCACATTTAATTTAGCTTTCCAAAGTGCATATTTCACAGTTCATCTTGACATTTTACAAGCCAACTGGATTAACATTTAATAATAATACTTCAGATTCAAATTCAAAATAACTACTTCAGCGAACAGTGCACCATTTTTTCTGTATTTAATTACTTTTGGCTTTTCATAACCTCTTGAATCCAGTGTAATTACACTATTAGCAAACAGGGAGTGTCTTGAGGCTACAAGGTTAATACAGACATTTTCCCCACACTTACAGAAAACAGTTTACGTCAACATTTTAATTGCAACATTTAACATCTCAGTGACCTCATGGATCATGAAAATTTGCAGTGCACAGTGAAGAACAGGTGTTTTGGAACGTGTTAAGGTGTTGTCAGAGTGATTTCTTTGTACTTTTATACCTCCGGCTTGGTTTAACTCACACCATTGTATTTGTTTCTTCAGAGGTCCAAATAGAAAGACAACAGTGATCTGCATTAATATTTTATGTGATACTGGGTTCCCCTCTGAATGTCTGCAAGAACTCTACACTTCATTTTTACACATGCGCCTATTTTTTCCCCTCTTTCAATTTTCACTCTCTGAGCTCTGATGACAGTGAAGCTCCCTTTTTTTTGTTTTTTTTTTACAAACCAGCTCTCTGCGAGTGTTAGATTACGAAGGCTTGTTTCTGGTGGAGTTGAAAGCGATCTCGGATGGCTGTGAAAGGCTAGTGCCCTCCCTAGAGCCCTGAGGTTCTCCTCTCACTCTAGCTGCTCCAGAATCAATGAGACCGACCACTAACCGACGTTATCACTGTGCACTGCAGACCACTAAAACAAGCAGCGTGTGAGAAGGTAATAACAACCCACAGTTTTCAATCGACTTTTCTACAAGAGCCTAAGCCAAAGCCCCAACGTTGAGAAAACTATACATGCACTGAATTTGTTTCAATGTTTATATCACATCAGTCACATTTGTTTGATTAAATGTGGGGAAGAGCGCTAATCCTGGAGCTGATGCTGTAGTGGTTACTATTATTAGCTTTATTGGAACAGATAACTGAAGTTTCAGTACACAGGACAGAATTAATGTATCCACAGTGGCATTTATATGCAGCAAATGTGTACGAGTTGAAATTAGGTTGCGGAGGAGTTTATTAGCGTTTCATGAAGATGCCTATGGCTGCTGCAGCCTGATTTTCAAGACTCTGTCTTTCTCTCAGTCACTCTTCCCAAGCTGGACCGCACATCCTCTCATTACAAGGACAGAATGCGAGACGTGTATTGATTTAACACACACACATTTTCCTTTAGCTGAGAGGATAGCTGAAGGAAATTCTCAGGGCAAAGCTTGAATTTTAAACAGCAGTTTATTCTGCTGTAGTGGGGGATTTATTTTGGCTCCCAACCAGTCCCACAGTGGATGGGAACAGGGCTCGGCTGTGAAAAGCCACTTTGCCACCTGTCTCTTCTCTTAGCTTCACTCTCAATTTTGTTCTCGTTCTCCTTCCTTTTTTTGTCCCCATAGGGCTTTCCTTTCAGGTGAATCTATGTTATGGGAGATGATTTTAAACCAATTACTATAATTAGGCACAAAATTCTGTCATATTTCAATATTAAACCAAAAGCTGTTGAGCAAGATCGCATCCCACCTAAGCAATATTGAAACGAACCACTATTGGGTGATAAATTATAAATTGCAAATTTGTAATGAGACTCCTTTAAACACTTTATTATTTATTTATTTATTGCATTCAGGCTCGTAGCCAGAGGTCCGGACCTCTGTAAATGTTTCATGTTAAAAAATAACATTTGTTCTCTGAATGACTAATTTGCTGTTTAAAACTCCTCTCATGAATGTCTGCATGTATAATTCAGTTTAGACAGTTTGCAAGAATGTTTAGTGTCTGTGGTATGAAAATGATCGTGGAGCGAACAAGTCTTTAGAGACTTCTGAGTGAGGCCGTGGGCACAGTTGCCAGATCCAGATATTATAAGCATTTTTGGACTTGTCTTTTCCACTTAAAGGAATACTCCACTTCCAAAATAAAAATTTCTTGATAATTTACTCACCCCCATGTCATTCAAGATGTTCATGTCTTTCTTTCTTCACTCACAAAGAAATTAAGTTTTTTAGGAAAACATTCCGGGATTTTTCTCCATATAATGGACTTTAGTGGTGCTCAACGGATTGAGGATAAAAAGCAGTTTCAGTCAAGCTTCAAAGGGCTCTAAATGATCCCAGCCGAGGAATAAGGGTCTTATCTAGCGAAATAAAAAAAAAGGACAATTTATATACTTTTTAACCTCAAATGCTCATCTCGTCTAGTTCTGCAATGCGCATGCGTACTCTGTGCACTCTGGTTCGAAACAGTTAGGGTAGGTCGAAAAACTCCCATCTCATTTTTTGTGTCAGCTGCGCCACGCGGATATGCTGTTTACATCGTTTACGCTTTGATTTGAACGAAAACAACGTATCCGCATGGCGCAGCTGACACAGAACAGCATACGCAATTTACGTTCAGTGGATACTCTCCAAAATGGTGCCAGGGTGACGCGGAGGAGACGAATTGTTGAATAAAGTATTTTTTTTTTTCTTTTGCGCACAAAGTATTCTCGTAGCTGCGTAAAATTACGGTTGAACCCCTGATGTCACATGGATTATTTTACCGATGTCCTTGCTACGTTTCTGGACCTTGATCGTGTAAGGACCCTTGCTGTCTATGGGAGGGCCAGAGAGCTCTCAGATTC